AGGTTTTCATTTTCACCGGCATAAATAATGACATCATATCTTTTGTCATTTTCAAATAACCTTTCATAATCATTAGCAACTCCTTGCAAACATTCGATAGACATTTTTATAGAAAGTTTACAAAAAGTTAAAAGAAACAAACCATTGAGAAAATTAATTAAGGCCATTGTATGCATGTTATTGTGTAAAGTTACACCACATTTATGTTTCCATTTAGTGCGACGCTTATCCCGTAAACTTGATTTTAAATAGCTTAGAGCTCGTTTCAACTAAAAAAATTTTTAATAATATAAAAAAAAAAAATAAATAAAAAGAATAGCAACCATCGTAGCATTAAATTTTTTTTTTTTTTTAAAAATATAATCTTTAATAATAATGTAAAATTTATTCGATTTTATTTATCCGATTTATTTTTTCGACCTTCACCTCCTCAAAAAAAATAAATTTTATAAAAAATCACCTACGTCGAGATCCTTAAAATATTTAGTTAAAAATTTCTATTTATCGCCTTTATTACTCATAAAATTGGTCTAATCCTTTATTAACCGAATGCGATAATATTTACAAATTTTTGTCTAATCAATTTTTTTAGTAGAGGTTTTCAATATTTTCATTACTTTGTGAGATCAGCTTCTCGTGTGATATAATCCTTCAAAAAGTAATTTAATATTAAAGCTCAATAGGGCAGATCCTGAACCAATGCCTTCTGTCACAGCTATCGTTATATGGAGTGGCGAATCTCCTTTTGCTAAACTTCCCTCTGCGTACGCATTTGGCTAGAATTAATTGTGGCGCACATGTTGACGATTATTCATTATCGAAAATCCAAGTCCCTAAAAATGAAACGCATGAATTTTGTGTCCCTGTTGCTGCTACCAGCATGCAAGTGTCTTATAGTAATGCCTTTTAGGTTCATATACTTATAGTTTATCTTGTGATTCTCGTATATCGCACTTCCTACCGGTAGACACTGACTAAATATGACTCTTATTCTTTCTTCGGAGCCATTTCTGTGCAGTTACTTCTTCATATGAAGGTGGCCAATTTTCTTGTTATGCTACTGCTGCAAAAATAAATAAAATAAAATAAAATTTGTGAAATGGTTATTTTTTTTGCAGGCATTATGCTTATGAAGCTTTGGTACCAAATATAACTCCTTTCAGCTATTTATTTTGTAAAGCAGTTATTGCTGACTCAACCTCGGAGTCTTTATCTTTATAGCTTATTTTGTGAGTCTCGCATATAATTCCTGTCGGTAGGCATTTCTTCCGATAAACTGGGATGCTTAGCTATTCTTTTCGGGCCATTTCTCCACAGGTGCGACAATGGTATTGATCAAATTGACCATTATGTCAATGTTTGCATGAAATAAAAAAAATTATTATAATTTTTGTTTTTTTTTGCGTTTCATTTCGAAATTAAAAATTTTGGTTATTTTTCGATTCGTGCTCTGCGAAGATTTAACATAAGTTTTTTCATCTCTACAAGTGTTACTATGGTTGAAACCGTTGGTGTTGTTGCAATTGTCGTAATTGCCATTGTTTGTCCCAATATCTGAATTATTTGCTAGCTTTTCTTATAAATTTATTGAATTATATTGTAAGGAGAGAGGAAAGTGAGAGAAATTGTTGTCTAAATGTCTAAAATGATAATTCATTTATAGTCCAACAAAATAATGTAAGTTTGACGTAAGACATTTGATTATATTGACATAATCACTAACTTTCTACATAATTTACAATCATTATTATTTTGAAATATATCTTTTTTAAAAGCTTTAATGAGCGCTGAATCATGACTTGCATATATTTGTTTGAAATATAAAATATCGAAGCAATTTTCACACCATTCATGAATGTCTTTGGTGCATAATTTTGTACTCCTAGCTTCATTACATTGTACATTCTTGTAATTATAAGTACATCCAATTACGAATTATTATCAGCTAGATAACTAATATACTTTGAGAAACAACTTTACAATTCTGCTGGTAAAATAAACCTGTTGATGAGTATTCATTTCCGCAAGGACATTTATATCTTTAAAATTCGTTTTGCCACAGGACTAGATTTTATTGTGGAGTTGGGTCAAAGGAATTTCATTATATGTAGTCGTTAGTTCCTTGAATTTGTAATATAGCAAACCTAATATTACACGGTTTGGATTAACATTTTCCGATTCTGGTTAAAAGTTGGAATTCTTCGGGAGAGTTGCCTCGAATATCCTTGTTGATTTTCAAATTAGAGTTCTAGCATTTTTGAATCCTTTCGAGAATTTTATTATTTATTTTATGAACAATAAGTTTAACAAAATTAACGCCACCGAAATCTCATTTTAGATCGATTCCTTTTAAACTAATGTAAAAATTGATAAGTTGCTGTTGTGTAAAATATTATTTTATTAAAATTTGTATAATATAATTCATGTTTTTATTTAAGTTCAAAATTCAAATATGAAAAAGAATCAAGATTCTCACATTATGAAATATTAACGTTACAGTATACTGAATTATATAATGATAGTGACATTTCTTATCATCTTTATAATAGACATCGGTTCAAAATTCCTTTATCAATAAAAACGATTTCGTTAGACTTTTTTCTTTAATATTATGGAAAACAAGCTAATTTTTCAGACCGAAACTCCATGATCGGCATTTGCGTTAACTTGTTTACAAAACGTCATTTGGTCCTTTTTTCTCATAAAAAATTATTATTCACTGGTTGTCTAGGATACAAGAATTCTTTAAATATGGTTCGTTATTCGATTTCTTTAAATACTCTGTAGATTTAGTTTATTGATAGAATAATTCATCCATGATTGGGATTAAAAGATTTTGGTAATAATGTATTTAATGGCGATAAATTACTTAATTTTTGGTTAATAATTCCTTTCATTTCTGAAAAAATCTTTTTCAAATATTGAAATTGATTTTTGATTTGGTCATTAAATTAAAACACTTTTTTAAAAAAAATATAATCGATATCATTTAAATCATTTCAATATTTGAAATAATTTTTAATTCATTTGAATAAAGAATTCAAAAAAGAAATCAGATGCTTTTTCAAAAAAAATTACTGATTTAATTATTAATTTCACACTCACATGATTATGATGTCATCTGAGTGTTGAAATGATAAAATTTTCGCTTTAGCAAAGCTTATCTAAAATAATTATGTTCACGAGATGCTTTTTTTTGAACATGGTGTTTATCTTCGTTTTGACAACTTTACATCAATTTAATTTAATTTTTCCTTTATACTGTATTTGTGAAAATAGTAGGGCAAAGATATGAAAATAATAATTCGAACCTGAATCATTACATACAAATAACCTGGAAACAACACTACTTCAATAAGATTAGGCATGATAATACTTAATGGCCTTGAGTTCATTATTACTGCCTCTGTCGTCGGAAATCATCTATTAAACATAACCAGTTCTTAATACAAGTTGGATGTATAAAATTCAAGTAGATTTTTAGCCCAAATGTCGAATTGATATGATATAATAACAACATAGTAGATATTTTGATTTAACATTAACATATTGTTACATTGAAGATAATTCCGCCCAAAATCTCCATAAATCCGCATGAGAATCGCTTTTGATATTTGTTTGCCAGGTGTCAAAATGTTCAGAACGCCAGGCTGGCCTAATTTTTTTTTTTATATATGCAACCCGGAAATCCTTATACAGCTCAACATTCCACGCTCGTCCTTATAATAATTTGCATTCATACACCTCGAAATCCTTTCTTTATCACCTTTGAAATATTTTCGCTTTCGCCGTTTTAACTCGCATTTGTAACTCCGTTTATTTTTAATTTCCGATTTTATTAGTATTCGTTTATTTCGTATTTACACAGTTTTAAATTAGAATTTTATTACTTAGAATTTACTTAATTTTAATATTTAGTCATAGCGAAAGTGAAGAGTTGCAACACTGATCGAATTGATAATATTAAATAAATTTGACGTCAATATTACTTCATTTTTATTCAATTAATACCTTCTCTTACAATACAATTTGTTTATAAATACATAACGAAAGAACTGAATGCAATAATATTCATTGTTATGTTCATTTTATTCAAAATTTTTGATGCTTTTAAAACCTTGCTGTTTCAATATTTTCTTTCAGTTATTTGCTCATCCCACTTCTTAATAACTTCTATTCCTCCTTCACTTTTCGCTTTAGGGTATCGCGTTGTTATTACTCCTCTGAGATAAAACCAATTACTAAGTTACTTATTGCATTTAGGATGTGTTTGTATATTTGCAACCATTAATTTGATAATTTAAATACTCAATTTTAAAAAACTAACATTTATAACGTATAAATCAAAATGAAAAATTAATCCAGCATACTTTTCCGTTTCATCTAATTATAAATAGTGAATTGCTAATAAATAAAATATACCTTAAGAAAACAATGTTAAATTTTGACATTGGAAATTCTTTATTTATAACTTTCTATTTAAAATAAAATAAAAGGATCAAAATAGGGAGGATTAAAATATGGTTTTTTTTTATTATAGCGTTGAGTTGTGAACCTAGTACGAGACAGGACACGCGTCGCTATGGTGGAAGAACAAATCCTATATATATATATTTTAATCACCGTGAAAATATGAAATTGGTAGTAGCAACTGTGTCTGAAAGTATTTTTTTTTTTTTTTTTTTTTTTTAGAAAAAGCGTTCAGTTACAAAGAAGAGGCAATTATTAGAATAATTTTTGCAGAATATGGAAAAATAATTTAGAATTATGAAGGTTTAAAAAACTTTAAATTTAGTAAGAGACTTATAAAAATTTAACTATATGAAAATCGATCAATAATAAATTTCATATGGACAATATATTTATTTGATTTAATTAATTTATCTGCCAATCAACGAGTCACTATTATCATATCGACTGGGAGATTGGACATAGAAAGTCATTGTCATTAAATTGGAAATAAATTACCACATTTTGAATGCAAATGCGGGTCGTAAATTCGTCTGGAAAATTATGAGCGCGCAAAAGAAAGGCTTCTTTGAAGGCAGGAGGTTATAACGAGCTAGCTTCGATGCATCTTATTGAAGAAGATAGTATGTACTTTAAGTAATTAATTATGTTACCAACCGTTAATGATTACTTATGTATTTATGTTAAACTACTAGTGTAAATTAATCGTAATAATAAGGCATATTATTATTATTCAAGTATTTGGTCGATTCTTTTCTGATACACTATTTTTTTTCTTTTTTTTTTTATTTTTATTTTTTATTTTTATTTATTTTTTAAAAAAAATTAAACTTTCCTTGTTTACATTTAAAATTAATTTTGAGTTCGGCAAAATGATCGATCATTGGAAGATCTAGTTAAATGGACAGTAAAAACCGCAGTCATTCTGAAAAGTCAGACCAACCGATATCGGTCACGACCGTGCCCGTTAGAATCCTGATTAAATCAACGAGAAATTTCTCTCTTTGTTTAACAATTATATTAGGTTTAAATTAATAAAAATTCAATTCATGACGGTATTGCCGAAAATTGAGGAAACGATGATTTTTAATAAAGTTTCTTTGATTGAATTGAAAATTTTTTAAAATTTTCAATAAATATTTAAATAAAGGAATAACAATGATCCTATTATAAACTTCTCAGTAAAAATAACACATGGAGGAAGCTGATAAATTATGTGAACTTACGCTTGAGGATTATTTTATGACGACAGACTAGCCATTAAACTCACAATCCATATGATTTAATTAGTCTTGTGACCAATGTTATATTATCTTGATAACAAAAGAAAAATTGTATTATTTACGATTAAGAAATTAAAAATTAAAATTATAAAGCGCAAAAAATTTATAAAAGAAAAATACTAATATTGATTCAATATCGATATCGAGTATTAATAAAATTTAACTACAAAGAAAATGCTTATAGAATTTCTTCTGCACATATACTATTAATTTAACTGAAAATGAATTAGTGCCTTATATAATAATACTGAAATCTAAGATTCACAAGCAATTTCTCAGATTATAGAAACTCGTTCGAAAAATTAATAATTATTAATAATTTTATCAGCAAAATGTTACAAACCGACTTCATGCGCAATAAATTTTCATCACGTGTCACATATTTTTGATTAAATTTATCAGAAACTTAAAATATTATTATGGTGTGCCACAGAAGTGAGTAGCATAGTTTTCGCATTATAGGGAGGAATATTGAATTAGCATATAACATTCCTTAAATAATTTATATTATTATAAAAATGACTTTAGGTCGCAGATTTTTTAGATGAGGAATTATACTAATATGATGTTGAGAAAAGGGATGGGAAATATATAATAAAATTATCTAATTTACTTTTCAAGGTGATTGATATGGATTAGTTTATTTGACTGAGCTTTTTTGCTCAAAACACGTCCGTTACTAAAGATAAGCAACGAAGAAACGACAATTATGGACAACTATTTATATACGTATAATTTGCCTTCTGGAGAGGGTTTTAAAAAGGTTGAAACATATCGCGACTTTAAAAGTATTTTGCATGAAATGGCAAAATCCATTACCAGTGAAGTTTTGGTATAACTAAACTAATTATCCGGTTCAGATAATTAAACTCATCACGAATAAAGTTATATCATATGAGGCATCAATTTTTAAGTAATTAAATTAATGACAAATTGTAAAACATATTTGCACGGCGATAAAAATAAAAATTGTTTACAATACTAAATATAAGCGTTACTTCAAACCCAAATGAAAATTTGAAATCGTAAAAATATACTTTCCATAGTACCAACATTTCTTTATCAAATGCTTTGATGTCTTGTTCTAATTTAACTTCGATAAAATTTGAAATCTGTGATTTCACGGATCTACCTTTTGATGGAACCTCACACAACTTAGATTTTTGCAATTCGTTTATTGTATGGGATTAATCAGGTTCTTCGGCTGCTTGATGTCTCTGATCTATTGAAGATCAAATATTTAAAATTGGTTGGCAAAGTCTCGGTGATTTATTATTTCAAAAAGTTAGTGCTTATTTGGAAAATTTAGAATTAAAGCTTACGATAAAACAAAAGAAGGATGCCCCTCCATTACATAATATGATTTATCATATAAGGGAAAACTTCAAATATCTTTCGATTGGGAATGATGATTATTGTTTAAATCCATTAGAGTACCATGTTAAAGTCAATTCAAGTATTTTAACGGGTTTAGGTCGAAACTTATCAAAATCCTTGAAATATTTAAATCTAAGTCTAACAACCATTTATCCGAAGGATTAGGAAATCTTTATTTATTGATACTACTGTAGTTCTTAAAAATTTTGAAAGAATTCTCGGAAGGGAAAATGGTGAAGAACATTGCTTATCAAATCAATCACTTTTTGATCATAAATATAAAGCTTTAGAAAAGCTGGCTGGTCAGTTTCAACCTTTTTATTGATTAAGAAATACAATGAGTTACTTGTGACCATTTCTGATATGGAAATCTGATATTGTTGGCATGAAGAAAACGAAAAATTACGATTACAATCTCCATCTTACAATTATTTACAGAAATAAAGTTTCGGCAAATTCTTTTAAATTCTATACAACAAAGTCTTGTTGCTCAATATAGAACAGCTTATAATGAATATTGTAAATGAATTTCCTATTTAATAATGCTATTTGTCGTTATTCCTTGTATTACTTATTATTTCATGATTAAATATTTATTAGATCTTAACGCGTGGGAAATTATTGTTGGAGGGTTCATCATAGGGGTACTGACCCATACATATTCGCATATTCTTATCAAATCATGATGATCGAATGAAATGAGCAAAAGCCTTCGATAATATCATTACGTAATGACTTGATTTAATCATTACTAGCCTTCAAAAACAAAATACTAATTTTTTTAGGTATTTACACAATCTTTGTCTGGACTTGTACCAAATTCAAAAAGAAGTCCAATACTTAAATCTAAACCTAGGGTTTCCGTTTGAAAATAGGATTCATTTACATACTTCAACACACGACTAAAAGAGAAATATACGTTAGAGGCGGTTAGTTTTCACTACATTAAAAAGTGTGATCAAGATCGGTCATGTAGAAAAGAGGTCGCAATGTCGTATATGCTTCATAGAAGAGTTAAGAAGAAAAGAAAGATTAGTACGTATTTATACAATAAATAAATTTTAAATAATCGATATTATATTAGATTTCCATGTTAAAACGATCATTTACGTTAATTAAAAAAAAATATATATATATCAAAATCAAAAGTGTCAAAATAATGTGTATGAATAATGAAATCACCGCAAAGAGATGGGGGTCATTCAGTGCATGGCTAAAAATTTCAGTGGAACAAAAAAATATGTATAATATTTACGAATATTCTAGCAGACTTCTCGATACTTATTTGTTACATTTTAGTCGAGAAGAAAAATAAAATTAAAACGTTTGGCGACTTATTCAAGGCTCCTTTATTTGATGATCCGAATTTTCTTAAATTTGAATACATTTGAGTCGAATCATATACCGTTAATTGGATAAATAGACTTGATATTTTGTCAATGTTTCATTTCAGCAATTACTTGATAATCCTACGTCATTAAAAAATAAATCTTTAAAGTGATTAGGAAATGATTTTTGCTTCGAAAAATGGCTGCTATTTAGAAAGTGAAGAAATAAGGCAATTAAAGAATACCCGCAGAAGACAAGCTTTGATTGCATTGTAAATTTTGTGGTTATATCAAAATGTTATATTTATTCTTCTATAGTTTTCTCAAATGTTTTAAGATGATCCGCATTTTAAGTATCTGAATCCATCCAAGTCTTATACAAACGCTTCGACACATTTATTGGATTAGGATCTTATTTAATTAAATATTTTTTTGATTAAATGAAAATTCTATTATCCAATTCAATTGAAAATCGTATCGATGGATTAAAAAATTATCAGTTACAAATATTAGTCGTAAATGATGATGATAAGATAGATCACTTTTAAATTCTTTTAAAATATGTTGAGGAAAAATCTTGCATTTCATGTTGTTAGGCCTGGAATCGTACCGAAACCGAAGCTAACAAACCAATTATCTTAATAACTTAATTATCTTGAAGGCCTTTCCTAAGAGAATAAACGATTAACAAACAAATAGATTTACTATTACGTTCACTTTGGTAGTTAGTTATCACGAGATCCGTGTATGAAGACAAGAAGAAGGTTGAAACTTTTATAATAATAAAAATACAAATAAAGTAAATAATTTATGCTAGATAAATAAAGTAAATAAGATTAGTAATGAAAAATATATTATTCAATACATATTATGAAAAATAATCTAAACGTTACATAGCTGATAAATTAGTCGTGACAATCGCCGCAGTGTGATCTGAGACGCAATACGATTTGCGATTAAAAATGTCAACGAAAATTTTTAAAAGTTCGTTATATCAACATTTGGAAAGATGGTTAGTTAAATGAAGTAGTTCAGTGAGTTTGATTGTGAATATTTCTTGTTCGAAATATCATGTTAAATTTGTATACTTTATCGTCTCAAATCATCAGAAATTGCATTTATTAGGAAATATGATATTTTTTTTTTTATTTATTTTGAAATAAAAGAGAATATGAAAATGTACAAAAATTGTGTTTATAAAAAAAATTTTGAACTTTTGATTAGAATATCTTTTTTATTTTAATAAAATTTAAATGAAGATATAACGAATCGAATAAATGAATAAAAAAGACATTGAGCAGATCATTTTTTTCATGTGATATGTATGTATTTAATGCAAATAATGTAGGATTTTTTAATTTTGTTTTGCAATTTTTTAAATATGACTAACAAGAAATATAACCACTTAACTTGTATTTTATTTTCATATTAAGTTATTTGCTCTTTAGAGTTGAATCGTTTATTCCTGCAGGACGTTAAAATAATCTCGAAAAAACTAAATTATGTCGCTTAAATTTTTTTTTGAAATGAAAGCTTATTATAATTATTATATTGTGAGAATAAAAAAAAATTATTATTAGAGTTATACAATTGTTACACTGCATGATAAGATTTTAATGTTCTTTTTTTACAATGAAAATAGTGTTGATCTACCGAGTGCGTTTTTTATTAAAAAATTTTTTTTACATTTATAACACCGAGTGCATTTTTTTCTCCAAAATTTTTTACATTTATAACACCGAGTGCAATTTTTTCTCCAAAATTTTTTATCATTTCGCTTGCTAAATATCCAATTAAAAAAATCAAAATGGAAACTTCCAAGAATTCAAATGAGTTTATTGAAAAATATATTTCAAGTAATAATATAAAATACTTTGAATACAAACATTTTAGCAAGTTTCAAAAGATTGGTTCAGGCAGCTTTGGAAAAGTCTATCGTGCAAATTGGAAAAATTCAAAGCAATATCTTGCATTAAAATCGTTTCATAACTTTAACAACGCTACCGTTAAAGAAATAGTTCATGAGGTAATTACAAAATATATTTCAATTTGTTTATTATAATATCATTTATATCAAGCCAAAATTTTTAATTTGTAATAATTTAGCTCGAGCTTCAACGGGCAGTTGAATTTCATTGTAATATCATCCGTTTTTTTGGGATTACAGCATCATACAAAGGTATAAAACCTTATTTAAATTAGGTTAATTAATAATATATATATTGGCTTTTACATTGTATTTTTAACTCATTT